GCCTCTTGATCAAAACCTCTCTGCTCTGCTTGGATGTGTGCTCAGTTTTCATCTTCCTTTGATTGTAGCACTAGTTTACTCTTAAGTTATATGAAAGAATTCAGTTTTAATCTATGGAGCTAATTGCTACAGTACGTAATGGAAGCTAAAACCATAGCAGTGTTTTTAGAAAGCACAAAGATCCAAGTAGGTCCTCCTATGAATGATCAACTCTTCCTAATTCAAAATTAACATTAAAAATTAAATTCTAGCCATTTTTAAAACAATCTTAGTTTTCATCGTGAGTATCTGCCATATTTGCTGACACATGTGGGCACATAGTTCCATCACTAAACACTATGGTATTTTTTTCACACTTTATTTCAAACAGATGGTACCGATCAATCACTCTTGAAGGTGGGATACTAATTTGCAGACCATTAGGGATGATGATTCATTTCCTTTTGATCCCTTCTCTGAGTTTGGACTGTGACTAAATATAGAAGTATTGATGATATACTTTCTATAACATTTCACTTACTACTTTTGTTTCATGTAATTTCTTTTTTCCTAGATCTGGAGCACCTAGAAAGTTTTGAAAAGTATTTGAAGTCAATGAACTGCTCAGAAGAAATTTGTCTGATCACCACATTAGCTCAGATGGCACAGACCAAACGGGCTGATGTGGATGAGGATTTTATCAGAATGATTGTTCTGGAGATATATGAGGTGAATAATATTACAGAATATGCTCTTCCTCTTTCTGTCAGTGAAAAATGGGAAGCATTTCTCACCTCCATAGCTTATAAACCTCACAAGTAGCTCTCTGTCTCGTGGCTGACTGATCTACGCTTGTGCTTGTTCTGTTTTGGGAGAGAAGTTTGTTTGGTTTTGGTTGTTTCTTTGCATGGTTCTTCTTTTTCAGGTGTAACCTAAAGCTCTGAAATTCCTGGCGTTTATTCTCTCTTTTTCTTTTGTTGTTGTCTGTATGTTCAGTTTTGAACATTGTTCTTGTCATTCTTTTTGACGTTGTGTCATGACAGTTTCATTAACTGTATTAAATGTTAGGAAAATCTGTTTCAATATTGGTATCTACATTTATCAGCCTTGTTGTCCACGATCAGCAAGAGTAATTTGGTTTTGTATTCTCCAAAAGATGTTTCATTGCAGTAGTGGTGCACTATTTATTGTAGTATCAGTGAAGGCCAACCATAATGAGCAACTCAGAACTAGAGGAAATGCCCTGAAACTGAAGCACCAAAAGTTCCACAGGAACTTAAGGAAAAAATTTCTTAACAGTGAGGGTGACAGAGCACTGGAACAGACTGCCCAGAGAGGTTGTGGAGTCTCCTTCTCTGGAGATCTTCAAAACCCGCTTGGATGCAGTCCTGTGCCACATGCTCTAGGTGACCCTGCGTGTGCAGGGGGGTTGGAGTGGATGACCTCCAGAGGTCCCTTCCAACCTTGGGCATTCTGTGATTCTGTGAACTCTTCTCTGCTGATTTTCTCAGGTGTCCTATGTTAGTCTCTTTACAAGAGAGACATTTTCAAAAGTTGGTTGGGAACTCCTGGAGGCCATTGCCAGCACCCATACACAGATTATTTCTGTACTGCTGGTTTGAGTTAGAGGCACCATTGAAAAGGTTGGGATGGTAAGTGCTGACCTCTGTCACTTGAAGAAGTCACTTAGTTAAAACTAGGTAGAGACCCTACCAGACAGTGTTATAAGATACAGCTTGGTATGTCTGGGTCATTTTTAAGAGCTGTTTTTTTTTTGTTTTTTTTTTTTTGACTATATCACTGTGGTAGAAAGGCCTAGTGATGATGATGCTTTCATACTAAAGGCTCATGAGCCTTTTGTTCTGTTTATGTCCTCAAAGGTTTCTTTGTATCTGTTCAAAGAACTGCCGCTGCACCTATGGAAGCCTTCTTCAACTGAGATAGATAGCACTGATTCGTGACTGGCTGTTAAATAACAGTCTAACCACCATAGAGAATAAGCTAGCCTACATCATCCTGGAAGGCCTAAACTGGGGATTTGGGGAACGTGTAAGTATTAAAACAGGAGGCCTGACATCTGGGTCAGTTTTTGAGGAAAAAAAAGTATTATTTGATCTAAGGCTATTGTTATGATTTGGTGA